CTGGCCCAAGAGCTCAGAATGGTTTTCAGGTAGTTGAAAACAAATGAAGAGAATAGTTTTTGGTGGCATGTAAAAACTACATGAATCCAAACTTAACAGTGTATCTGTAACGTTCTGTTGGAACACAGTCCATTCATTAGGGTTTGTCTCTGGCTGCTTCTGTGTTGCAGTGGCCCACAAAGCCTTACGTGTTTACCAAGTGCATTTCTCTCACTGGAAATGCTTGGGACAAGAAGTGTTTCCTGTATTGGATTTTGGAATATTTGCCAGATAATGAGAAATCTTGGGGATAGGACCCACATCAAAGCATGCCATTCATACGTTTCAGAAATACTTTCTACACATAGCCTTCAGGTAATTGTATATAACACTTTTAATAATTTTATGTATGAAACAAAGTTTTCTGGTGTGAAATTTTCCACTTGTTGGGGGTCATGCTGGTTCTCAGAAAGTTTTGAATTTTAGGCCATTTTACATTTCAGATTTTCATGTTAGGGTTGCTTACCTGGTACCAAGTAATGTTTTCCTGTGACATTTTCCTGATTTTCATTTAAAGAGAAGTACATTGGGAGGAGTAGATGGGGACAAGAGGGCTGTCTGATCTTTTCTCTGCCTTCGGTAAGATATAAACATAGATCTCTTTAAAAAAAAAAAAAAAAAGTCTAGCCCTCACCCCTCACCCTCCCTCCCCCATTTATATATCCCTGGGTTAAGAATCCTGATTGGAGAAAAGTTAACAGCTTATGCAAATGCAGACCCTGAGGAGGAAGGCTGTGAGGTTCAGCCAGAGGATTCCCACTGCCCCTCCTTCCGTGTTCCGCCCCAAGTCCCTTTGCATTGTCCCATAGTCGCTTTTTGTCTTTGCATCCCATAGAGAGCGCAGTAGGAGAGTGTTCATCTGGCCGACTGTATTATGTGTACAGTGAAGGGAACCTGACGTGACGTGATGTGTCATGCCAAGTGCTTTTCATCAGCGTGTGTGTGGTGCCTGCATTTGGCTGTGTCACAGGGACTGGGGCCCGTGGGCCTGGCTCCGGAAGGGACACAGCGATCTGCCCCCTCCACCAGCCTGTTGTCATCAAGCTCACTTTATAGCAAGGCTCTGAAGCCCCCGACTTTAGATTAAAAGAGAAGTCAAGAAACTGAGCCTTTTTTTCCCCCCACAACTTTAGACTCTTAATACCTGAGGGGGCTGGGTCTGTCTTGGCGAGGAGTGGGCTCGGAAGCTGAAGGGTGACAGTGGTAATGGAGCTGATGCCAGTTTTGCTATGGACGAAGCTTAGATTTGAACAGGTTGTTCTTCCGTTCAGCAGAGCTGTGGCAGGCCAGTACAAGGCCTGCATCGCGGCCTCACCTTCATGTTTGTCCAGGCGAGGGTTTTATTTTATATTTTTTGTTTTATTTATTTATTTGAAAGGCAGAGTTAGGGAGAGGAAGAGAGAGAGAGAGATCATCCATCTGCTGGTTCACTTCTTAAAATGGCTGCAATGGCCAGGGCTGGGCCGTGCTGAAGCCAGGAGCCAGGAGCTTCTTTCAGGTCTCCCATGTGGGTATAGGAGCCCAAGGACTTAGGCCATCTTCTGCTGCTTTCCCAGGTTTGTTAGCAGGGAGCTGGATCAGAAGTGGAGTGGCCTAGACTTGAACCCATGCCCATATGGATGCCAGCCCTGCAAGTGGTGACTTAACTTGCTACGCCATAACACTGGCCCCCTACGCAAGGTTTTGAGGTGCAGCTGTGTGGGTGGTAGTAACATCCACCTGATGAAAATGGTTCTGGGGCCGGAGCTGTGACTTAGTGGGTAAAGCCGCTGTCTACAGTTCCAGCATCCCATATGGGCGCCAGTTCAAGACCCAGCCACTCCACTTTCTATCCAGCTCTCTGCTATGGCCTGGGAAAGCAGCGGAAGATGGGCCAAGGTCTTGGATGTCTGCATCCCCACAGGAGACCCTGGAGAAGCTCCTGGCTCCTGGTTTCAGGTCGGCACAGCTCTGGCCGTTGTGGCCATTTGAGGAGTGAACCAGTGGATGGAAGACCTTTCTCTGCCTCTGCCTCTCTGTAACTCTGCCTTTCAAAGAAATAAATAAATCTTTAAAAAAAAAAAAAAAAGCAGAAGGTTCTCGAAAAGGAAAGTCACAATTAGATGGCAAAGCCGAAATGAACCAGTGAAGAAGAGATTTGCTGATGTTGTGTCATTTTTCTCTCTACTTTCCTGTCTGCAGTGTCATCTTCTGTGAAGATCTTAATTGTTGGTATAGCTTTTGCTTTTTTTTTTTTTTTTTAAAGATTTATTTATTTAAGAGGCAGAGGCAGAGAAAGAGAGAGAGGTCTTCCGTGCTCTGGTTCACTCCCCAGGTGGTTGCAATTACCAGAGCTGTGCCAGTCCGAAGCCAGGAGCCAAGTCTCCCACGCAGGTGCAGGGGCCCAAGGACTTGGGCCATCTTCTACTGTTTTCCTAGGCCACAGCAGAGAGCTGGATCGGAAGTGGAGCAGCCGGGACTCGAACCAGTGCCCACATGGGATGCCGGCACCGCAGGTGGCAGTTTTACCTGCTATGCCATAGCCCCCGCCCCTTGATATAGCTTTTATGTCTTCCATGCATGTTAGGAATAACTTCTCATTTGTGAGAGTCCTGTTACACATCTTCAGTTACGATTTGTCTTAAATAATCATTAATAAACACCTTTTCATTCCTTTCTTCACAAAATCTTCATATGAGTGTTTGAGTGTTGTGAATTTTTTGCCATTTTCTTATTCAAAACAGGGGGAGGAGGATTTAGAGTTAATGAAGGAGGCAGCACACCCCAAGCATCAATCACGTGCTGTTTTTCACGTAGATTTGCCAGTTGGTTCCACAAAACACAGTGAGATATCTACATATCTATACATCTATATATCTATATATATATATAGAGAGAGAGAGAGACAGACAGACAGAGACATTGTCCTCTGCTGGACTTGCCATGGTTCCCGCTTCAGAATGTCCCGACACGAGGCAGGAGAAGCATGCCACTCCCGTCAGTCCGGGTCTCCTGTCTTTCTGTAGTCACAGAAATGGATGCGGCTCAGTGCGGGCATGAAGTCATCGTGCCGAAAATAGAGCAGCCAGCGACTGAGGAGCCCCGCTCCCCTCAGCCCGGTTGTGCTCTCCTCTGCCTGGGGACTTGCACGTGCGATTTTGGAACCACGGCCTGGTGCTCGGTCTCCTTGGCTTGCTCACATCTGGGTCACCCCTCTTCACTTCCTGTGCAGCACCCTCAAGGGTAGTTTTTCTCCGGGGAAGCCTGCGCTGGGAACGTGTGTGTGGGCTTCTCTCTGGCTGGTTAGGTTACGTGGGAACCCCGGGCCACCCCTCTGTGCTCCAGGTTCGCTTTGGAACACAGCTCACCTGCCCCACGTCACACCCCAAGCCAGGGGCTGGCATAAGTCACTTCACGGTCAAGCTGGGGGAGACCCCGAAGGCATTCTTCATTGGTCGGTCCTGAGTCCAGTGCATGGGTTTGGTTCTCTGCGTTTAACTAAAGAGAACTGAAGTAGAATTCAGCTTGATTCTCTTCCTTCCACAGTAAATGAAAGGCCTCGGTGCCCTCCATACTTCTGCACATTTTTTAGTGAATGAAAATATTGATGTGTTAATATTACCTCAGGGCCCCTTATAGTCTGGGTCTATCTTATTACCTTGTTCCACACATGCTGGAAAAAAAAGGATGTTCTTAATTAATTAGCTTTCCTGGAGATAATGATGCGGTGTGTATTCCAGTTGATGTCTCTCAAGCTGTCGTGTGGCCGTGGCTGCTTGATTTCCCTCCAGGCCTGCAGAGGGTTCTTAACATGCATGGAAGTGTGGTCCCTGTAGTGTGTGTTGCACTGGCTAGGGATTTTCTTGCAGTCACTCAATCTAGCAGAAACCAAACTTTTGTTTGTCTTATCGCTGTCCTGTACAAGTACTGCTGAGCACGCTTTGTTTATGAACATCGACTCTTAATCTCTTTGTCCTAAGTTATTTTTGCAAAGGGAATGAATGTTGGTCGTGGCTCATATCTCTTGGGGGCAGGATGCTACATTTTGTTGTTGTTGTTGTTATGGTTAAAATTATTATTTGAGAGACAGCTTCCTTCCACTAGTTCACTTTTCAAATGCCTGAAATGACCTGCATTGGGCTAGGCCAACGCCAGGAGCCAGGAACTCAATTGAGCTCTCCCGTTTTGGTGGCATGGACCTAGCCGTCTGAGCTATGACTGCTACCTGCTATGATGTATCTTAGCAGGAAGAGGAATCGAGGGCTAGAGCGGAATATTGAAGTCAGATATGACACACAGGCATCTGGACTGCTTGGCCCAGCACCTACCCTGCTGTGTTCTTCATGAAAGTGGTGGTTATAAAAGAGATGTCTGGCGTGTGTCCGCTAAGAGCTGCCCCCTAGATTGAAGTCAGGTGTCTACAGCCACTGTTCTCAAACTTGTACTTGGAACATCCCAACTGTTTTGTCACTGTTAGGAATCCTTCTCCAAAGGATTGGGCCACCCAGTGGGAATGGGGATGCCTCCGAAAACTCTCTTTCCACCTTGGTCATCTGAAAAGCTGTCTTTCCTGGCAATTGTTGGGGGTCCCTGTTGTGTGTGTTGTGAGTTCTAGAAGAGAAGTTAGCCAGTGAGGGCAGGACTGGTGAAGAAAGACTGTGAAAGAACCATGGCTCGTCCGGCGCTGCGGCTCACTAGGCTAATCCTCCACCTAGCGGCGCCGGCACACCGGGTTCTAGTCCTGGTTGGGGCGCCGGCTTCTGTCCCGGTTGCTCCTCTTCCAGGCCAGCTCTCTGCTGTGGCCCGGGAGTACAGTGGAGGATGGCCCAAGTGCTTGGGCCCTGCACCCCATGGGAGACCAGGAGAAGCACCTGGCTCCTGCCTTCGGATCAGCGTGGTGCGCCGGCTGCAGCACGCCAGCCGTGGCGGCCATTGGAGGGTGAACCAACGGCAAAAGGAAGACCTTTCTCTCTGTCTCTCTCTCTCTCTCTCTCTCTCACTATCCACTCTGCTTGTCAAAAAAAAAAAGAACCATGGCTCTTCTGGCTGTTGAGCTATGGGTGAGCTGGGACAGGATCGTAGGAGGGCAGCCCAGCAGGAGGAGCTTGGCCCTGATGGGACCTGTGGAGTGGAGGTGGAGGGTTGGAAACAATGAAAGATGGGAGGTTGGGAGGTTGGCACACGTCTAGGAGGTCAAGGTAAAGATTTGATTCTGGGGGAGGACTTGCGAAGGGATCTTGAGTTCAGGCCATGGTTTGAATACACATACGCAAACTCAAGGGTTTGGTCTCTGAAGTCTTTTTTAAGTTTTTATTTATTTATTCGAGAGGTAGAATTATGGGCAGAGAGAGGCAGGGGCAGAAATAGAGATCTTCCATCTGCTGTTTCACACTCCAGATGGACGCAATGGCCAGATCTGAGTTGATCCAAAGCCAGGAGCCAGGAGCTTCTTCCTGGCCTCCCATGTGAGTGCAGGGGCCCAAGGTCTTGGGCTGTCTTCTGCTGTCCCAGGTGCATCAGCAAGGAGCTGGATTGGAAGAGGAGCACCCAGGATATGAACCAGTGCCCATATGGGATGCTGGCACTGCAGGTGGAGGCTTAGCTTAGTGCTGACACCCTGCCTAAAGTCAGCGTTAATGGAAGTAAGGGTGGAAATCTAATCCAGTTATGCTGTTCTTTGGGGGAGGGGGTGATAGGATTGGGTTTCAGGGTGGAGCCCCCCTCATTAAATCCTGGTAGCTTTGTAGGAGACCACATAGACAGGCACAGACACACATGCTCCTTGTCTCCTGCCACGTGATGTTCTCTGCTTGCTACCTTGCGACTCTGCTAGCAAGAACAAAATCCCCAGAAGCCCCACTGCTGGGACCCACCTGATCTTGGACTGTGAACCTCCAGAACTGTAGCCTGTGGCACTTATTTCACTGTAGCAACAAAAAGATGATTGGTGCAGTCTGGAAGCTTTGTGGGGAGAGAAGCACTCACATCTAAGGCAGCCTGGGCTGCCTGACATGGTGGACGTGGAAGAGAGGCCGGTTTGGGAAGATGGTGATTGGAACAGTTGAGGCCTGATGGGCCTATTGGCAGTAGGGATGCAGAGAGAGGCAAGTGTTCTAGAAAGTCTCAGCCATCATCTGATGGCTTCATACCAGCCGGCACAATGGAAAATTCAGGGTGCCGGGGCCTTATTTCAGTGTGGTAGTTCTGTGTTTCCTTTCGGTGACCAGACCTTCTGGCATGGGTGGGGTCTGCATCCCAGGCCACTCCACAGAGATGACTTGGAATCGTGAGAAGGAGGAGGGTGCTGAAGTCCCCTCCTGACCGCTGCATTCTGGAGTTCTCTTGAGCTGTGGTAGCCATGGCATGAATTGGCTTCTTAGTAATTAGGAGCTGGACGTTCTTTTTATTGCCTGTCTTTAACCTCATTGTGCCCCAAATAAACATCCACGTGAAGTGATGCGGTGAAAGCCCTTGGGTGGTACACCAGTGCCCACTTCCTTGCTTTTAGGCGTGTCTCTCAAGGGATTGATTCCAAGTGCATCATGTTTGCTGAGCTCTGCACACGTTGGTGTTTTAGTTACTGGTTCCTTATTGATTTCCAAGACTCTTTTGCAAGTGGAGCAAAAGTCAGATGTCCCTGACCATGGCCTGCGTGCCTGTGTCAGGTGCCCCCAACATGACTCAGCTCTCCTCTGCTGCCCCTTGTCCCCCTTCTTTGTGGGGCTTAAGTGTCCTGGCCAGATTCCTTTCCTATGTGCTGTTTCCTCCACCTGTGGTCTGTTCTGCAGACATTCATGAGGTCTCGGCTCACGTGCGACATCTGAAGGGCCTTCCCTGACCACCCTCACTGCCTGTTCCCTGCATCCCCCACTCCCTTTCTCTTCTGCTGAATTGTATGGCACACGTATAGTTCCATGACATTTTTATTTGATGCATGGACTTCCTTTGTCTGTTTCCTCCCCCCCACACCTGTAAACTCCACGAGGGTAAAACTTGGCTGTACGTATCTCTGTTTCCACAGTACCTGGGCTCAATAAATATTTATTGAGTGAATGAATGGAATAAGAATTTTAAATGAATGAATTTAAAAATAGCCTGTGCCTGTAGACACATCCTCCTGCAGAGATATGTGAATACTATTAGCAGGGCAGGAGCAAGATGCTTTTACCATCTGCCTTTTTACAGTGTAGGGAGATTCAGTGTTACAGCTACCCGTTTTATTTCACCAGTACGAAACCAAAAGAGTGTTAACTTCGCGTAGTCAAATGGAGCCAGCAGACTGTCGTCCATGAGCTGTTACAGGGCCTCGCCTCGCTTTGTGTCTCCGAGGGTGTAGACAGAGACACAGAATCAAAAACATGGAGCTCATTGTCTTCCACTGACTTCAGCCTGGGACCTTCTGTGCTGCAGTCGCATCTCAGAAACAACCAAACACGTACACCACCTCGTATGTGTTCTCTAGTCAGCTGCTGGCCTCTGTCTAAGGAACTGTTTTTCCCTTTAGGGTGTCTTATCGTGAAACATGTCCATTTCAAGTTTGGAATGAGCTGTACTGTAAACACGAGGCGGTGTGGTCATCCGTTTGTGCAAACATTAGCAACCAGACACATTTTCTTCACCCTTTGGTTAGCGTCGTTTGCCACAATATATCAGCGCAGTGAGATGGTGACACCTACGCAGTTTCTCAGGCTGTGCTTTCTACTAATTGTTTGTTTAATTAGAAAATGAGTAAGTATTTTTAGAGAAAATAGGATCCCGAACTGTGGGGTTGGAAGCGTCTCTTAATTGCACGCCGTTATCACGATCTAAGGACTGCACTCGTGGTGTGTAGGTGGTGGGGGCTTATTCTGCTGCTGGCTGGTGCTTATTGGGAGGGTTCTTTTTCGCTCTGCGATTCAAGTAGGGCAAAAGGGAACCTACTTCGTCCCTGGGATTTCAAAGCCAGATGTAGTCAGAATGTCTGAATACATGGTTTGTGTTCATTCAAAGGCGCTGATTGGTGGCCTGAGGCACGTGAGATGTCACGGAAGGTGCAAAGGTATGGGAACTACCCTCGTGCCCGAAAGGTGTATTTCTCACCTTTCACAGGAACAACGTGCGGGGAAACCTTGATTGGTTGTGTGGAATTTGCTGGGTGAGATCTTGGGGATGTAGCACAGCATGGATTTGGGATCGGAGTACAGGGGCTGTATTCAGAATGGCCCTTAGCTCTGAGTGATTGCCAAACACGCTGAGATCTTCATTGCAAGGTAGATTGCTTGTGTGCCCTCGTTTCTGATTTCTGGGCCCATTCATCACGTTCAGAGGTACTGATTTCCTCTGTATTCCTTCCTCCTTATCACCGAGTCTGGCCTGGCTGTGAAGGCTGCCCCCACCTATGTGACAGTGACCTTGTATGGCTGCCGGGGAGGTCTTGGCTGGTTGTGACCACAGAGTCCCAGTCCCAACATGGGGTACGAAGAAGAAAGGGGAGTTTAAACATGGAGCTGGGAGGAGGGATTCCTGCCCTGGTCGTGAGCTGAGGTGTGGAGGCGTGGCAGGCAGCATCTGGTGGCACCTTCCGGTCCCTGGCATTGTTCTCTACAAAGACATTTTTAGCTTCGGGGCTGGAGTAAAATACACTGGACAGGATGGGGCCTGAGAGAAAACAGAGCTAGCGAGAACAGAGCCCTGCTGTCCCCCTTTAGCAGCGTTGTGGGAACACGCACTGCGTGGCCCAGGGCCATTGCCATCTTGGTTTTAGAGCAGGCTGGTGGGGAGCTTGGAAGCTGTGTGGCTGCACTAATTCTGGAAGCTTTGGAGCCTGTTTCCTCCCTTGTCAACACCCACCTTGCCCGGTGGTTGTTACTGTCATTTTTTTTTTTAGTGTGGTAAAATAGACATTCTGAAGATTACATTGCAATCATCAGCATCACCCATCTCCAGAGCTTTCTCACCATTCCAAACTGAAACTGTGCCTGTTACACAGCAGCTCCCCGTTCTTCTACAAACGAGTTGAGAGTTAAACGCAGGATTCTGGCTCCCTGTGCGTGTCTTCCTTCGGCTACATCTGGAGCGTTTCTTAGGTATCTTCTAAGAAGCTGTTGGGTTCATTGGTGCTTCCTACAGAAATGCAGGCTCTGCGTAATCTTGGGCCTTATTGTTTGTGTAGCACTGTGGTGGGAATAAACTGGGAGGGCTGTTCTGCATCCCCTACCAGTGTGCCTGGTTTGAGCCCTGGCTCCACCCCAGATTCCTGCTTCCTGCTGATGTGCCCCCTGGGAGGCGGCAGGTGATGGCTCAAGTAGTTGGATCTTTTGTGGGGGAGACTTGGATTGCATTCCTGGTTCCTTGGGGAGGGAACGAGGAGCGGATGACAGGTCTTTCTGTTTCTGTCTCTCAGTAAAAGCAGCTTTTTTTCTTTTTTTAAAGTCTGAACTAATGAGAGGTTCGCTGTTTTCTCTTGCTGGTGGTCTTCCTGATGACATTGCAGAGTGGGCTCACCTCTTCTCCACCTCCACCTTGCCTTCATCCTGCCCGCATTTGCTGTTGTCCACCGCCCTCCTGGGGGTCACTCCTCCCCTGGGCCCCGGCCTCCTGTCTCTCTGCTCCTTCCTGCTCTCCTTTACTGGCTGGTTCATTTTTCATCCTCCCCCTCCGTGGCATTCTCTATTTTTGGCCCTCTTTCAGAAAGGCCTGGGAGACTGCGTCCTGGTCAGAGAGGAGGGAGGGCAGCGGGCAGAGGAGGAGGGGTGGGCGATGCAGAGGTAAGCATGCCGATGTGCAGATTACCACGCCGAGTTGCCCCAAGAGGAGCCACAGCCTGTGCACAGCCCTCTGTGACCCCGCCTCCCCCAGGGATGGCTTCCTGTGGAGGTCGTGCCCTCAACTCCCTCTCTCAGACATCTAAGAGAGGAGGAGACAAAGGCAAGACTCCCCTTCCTTCTCTCTCAGCCTGCTCCGTGACTTTGTTCTTCTCGGCTTTCCATCCAGCTAGCAAGACCAGACCTCGGTCTCGGGATCCTTTGAACTTTTCCTTGCTTCCTAAATGGGCACCTTCACTCCTGTTCTTATCCCCACTGCCTTTATCTCCCCTTCCTGGGCAGCTGATCCGGCTTCCTCCTCCTCTCCCGGCTGGCCTTCCTGCTGCAGACAGATCGCCTATCTCATCACCCGCTTCCCTCCGACTCCCGACTGCCACACGGTAAAGCTCACTCGGCAGGTTGGCCTTCTGCCCTGTGCCAGCTGGGCTCTTGTGCACCAGTGAGCGCCCCCTCCCTTCCTTTGCCCTCTGCTGCCCCCACCCCCTGACAGTGTCACAGGGGCCTTTCATCTTTCAGACCTCGGGCCTTTCCGAGGGACTAAGGAAAGCTGTGTGGCTCTCCTCCACAGAAAAATATGTATAAGGGAACTTCAAAAGGTCCATGGAAGATGGAATTAAATATAAGTTGATTTTGGTGTAGAAAAATTGAAGCTGGCACATAGTTTTTTCCTAATTGATATTTTCCGTGAGCCTTTTGAAGGCCCGTCATATGGGTGGACTTCAAGACATTTTGCACCAGAATCAACTTATGTTTGAATTTCGTTTTGCACAAACTCTTTGTAAGGCCCCTATCTGCCCACTTTTCCTTTGAGCCTCCAGGGGCCTGTGGGTCCCAGTCAGGAGCTCTGCCTGTGGTGCCCAGGCTCTGAGCGCTCCGAGACAGGCCGTGCACATTAAGTCTCTTAGCCTTTGCTAGTGCCATCCCTTCCCTTCTGTCTTTGTTTCTTCGTTTTTGTTCCATTCGTATGTTCTTGGGCTCACTGTCCTGCCAGGATTACTTTTGCCTGCTATTGTTCTTGCATAGCACTTTGCCAGGACATCGCCAGCATTTTTTTTTTTAATTTTTTTATTTGACAGGTAGAGTTGTTGACAGTGAGAGAGAGAGAGAGAGAGAGAGAGAGAGACAGACAGAGAGAAAGGTCTTCCTTCCGTTGGGTCACCCCCTAAATGGCCGCTACGGCTGGTGCTATGCCGATCTGAAGCCAGGAGCCAGGTGCTTCCTCCTGGTCTCCCATGCAGGTGCAGGGCCCAAGCACTTGGGCCATCCTCCACTGTCTTCCTGGGCCACAGCAGAGAGCTGGACTGGAAGAGGAGCAACCGGGACAGGACTGGCGCCCCAACCGGGACTAGAACCGGAGTGCCGGCACCTCAGGCAGAGGATTAGCCTAGTGAGCTGCAGCGCCGGCCCATCGCCAGCATTTGTGCTGGAGTTGATAGTCTGCATGGCTCCCTTGCCTTTGGATTCCCAAGCAGAACGCCTTGCATGTATTGCACACTCAGTCATATGTTCATTTTTCCATCCATGCAACAGCATTTTTTTCCCCTTAGCACTTGTGGCCCTTGGGGTATGCTAGGGAATATGACGTGCTACTGCTGTGAGGATCAAATTGTGGAGAGTACATACAAACATCATTACAATGCAATGTGGCTATAATGATGGCTAATATTAAGTGACCATTTACTGTGTGCTAGTATTAATGAGCGTATGATAGGTGTCATCTAAATTCTCACTAGAGCTCTGTGAAATAGGTTCCAAAGTTTCATGCATAAAGTCACTGAGGCTCAGATAGGGTAGTAACTTAGCTGGATCACCAGGCTCACATGTCTCTATGGGCCAGGCTTTCCTTGTGAGGCTTTCTAAGGCCAAGCTGGCCAAGACCCTGCCGGAGACTGGGGGAAAGGAGCGAAGAGAGAGAAGATGGCCACGGAGAAATCACTGAAGGTTTCCTGGAGGAGGATGGGGACAGGGGATGGCGACGAAGGAGGCAAAGGTGGGGTTGAATGGATGAATGACCTTTGGGTGGAAATTTCTGAACCGAGGTCTGTAGATATGGGAAAAGGGGAGAAGGCAATGTTCATCAAAGAAACTGATGGAAAAATAGAATTGGTTAGTGAGCAGATTATTGGATTAAGCAAAGAAATCTTTAAAGAATCCCAGAGAAGAAAATGGCTTCGACACTACGAGACTTGTGTTTTCAGTGTGGGAAGCAGCACTGCTTCTCAGATACACACACACTCAGATAGTCTAACTGCTGATTACCCAGCAGATTACCTGGAACAAATATTTGCATTAGGGCCAGATAGGCATCCTCCCCACACTCAGTGTCGCTATCAGTTCGATAGGGATAAAAAAAAATGCATTTCCTCCAACCAACCAGTGTCAGCTGAGCTTCACAACTCTGTTTTATGTCGCACTAAGAATATCCCTGGGCCTGGTCCCAGGACTGGTGAAGTAGGGTCGTCTATTCGATAGGGTTGCTGTGAGCAGTGCCAGACGCGTGATTGCTCAGTGTGTGCTGTGGACGATGGTGGTGGTGGTGTTTACATAGGGAAGGAAGCGGGCTTGGAGGCAGAAGTGACTAATGGCTTCATGTAAGCAAAAGCTCTGAGCGAAGTGCTCTCTTGCCGATTGTGCAGATTTAAGACTAGATGGGTCTGCTGACAGGCGGCCTTCGATTCCGCGTTAGCAGGGTTGGAGTCTGTCTGCTTTTAGGTAAACTGCAGCCCAGTGGTCATGTGCCTTTTCGGAACCAAAGGGGAAATGAAGGGCTCAATTTCAGAGCGTGGCCTCTAATCTTGTGTGCCCCTCCACTCCGTCTACACGCTCCCAGCAATTAGAGAGACATTCTGCGACCTGAAATGGTTGGGTTCAGACCGGAATGCCTGGGTGCTACCAAATTAAAGACCAGTGGGGAGCTGCTGAGGGAACCCAGCCTCTGGCACTTACGGCAGAGGAGCCTTTATCTAGAGACAGGCTTTGCTCAAAGGCCATGGCCACGCCTGGGTCCCAGGCGACTCTAATGAGGGCCATCGACTCGGTTGTCCCATGATGACAGGTTGAGCTCGGGCCTGTGGTTCTGTGTCATGTAACACTCCTGGGAAAGCCCAGCAGAGCCTTAGGTGGCACCCTAAGGGCTGGAGGGAGTGGCCCTGCAGGCGCTGGCCTCTGCCTGCCAGCCCCGCCACCCTCTCCTGGGGCTCCCCACCTGCCTGCCACCTGCTCGTCACGCTGAAGT